GGAATGAATTTTAAAAAGAAAGACATGCCAGTCTCTTTAAGAGAACATGGTGGAAATTGGACATACCGCTTACGCTTGTATCCATTGGTCAGTACTCAAGTCAGGTGGTAACACCCAGATGCAAAGGGAGATAGGAAACTTAGTCTTTGTTCTACCTAGTCTTTAGGTATCTAGCTAAAATTTAGGGGTCCTTTTACTGAAGAAGAAGGGGAGAATGGATTTGGGGGTAAGGTGGTCATTAGGAGCTAAGAGACTACTTATAGGCTTGTTCATATTTAATTTTAACTACATTATCAGAAAGCTTTAAAAAGCAGAAAGAAAGGCAATAAGTGAAATATTTTGGTTGTGGACAACTACAGCTTAAATATTTTGTTTGAGGAAGATTGGATGTAGGCGAGCATATTAGTCCTCTTGGGCTGCCATAGCTTAAACAAAAAGATTCTCTCTCAGGAAGTTTAGATCAGGGTACCAACATGGTGAGGGCCGTCATCTTATGTTAGGGATGGAAGCACTGAACAGAGAGAAAGCTCTCTAGAGTCTTTTAAAAAAATTATTTATTTAATTTTTATTTATTATTATTATTTTAAATTTTGCCATAGGGCATGTGGACTTACCAAAGAGAGACAGAGGGAGAGAAAGAGAAAAAGTGAGAAAACAAGCTGCCAGGTCAGGGACTTGAATTGCAGTTGGCCATGTGGGAGTCCAATGCCTTAACCACCATGCCACCTGCTGGCTCCATAGTCTCTCTTTTTATTCTTTTTTCTTTTCTTTTAAGAGAGATTTTTGCTGTAGGGCTCATGTACTTACTGGAAAGACAGAGACAGAAAGTGAGAAATCACCCCTTAGGGGAGATGACTATGCTGCAATCCCTTCTCCTCCATTCTCCTCTTGGAATTTTGGGCACCCATACATATGTGCTTGGTACAAGTTTTTATTTATTTGTTTATTTACTTTTGAGAGTTTTTTGCTATAGGGCGCATGTGCTCGCCAGAAAGACAGAGAGAGACAGAGAGACAGAAAGCAAGATATCACCCCCCAGGGGGGATGGCCACGCTGCAATCCCTTCTCCTCCATTCTCCTCTTGGGATCTTGGGCACGCACGCACATGTGCCCAGTGTGAGTTTAAGCCACCGGGTCCAGGACTCAAACCACGATCGACTACATGGAAGTCCAGCGACATAGCCATTACTCTAACTGCTGGTCCCAACGCTTGGTATAAGTTTTAGGCCACCTGGTCTGGGACTTGAACAGCAGTTGACTACGTGGGAAGTCCAGCCATGTAACCGTTATGCCTTCTGCTGGTCCCATAGTGTCTCTTCTTATAAGGACACTACTCCCATCTTGAAGGCCTCACCGTCATGATTTCGTCTCACTTTAATTATCTCCTGAAAGCTCTCTCTCCATATACCATTACACTGAGAGTTAGTGCTTCAACATACACATTTTGGGGGGACAAATTCAACCTGTAACAGTGAAGTTTAACTATACCTACATTTTAATGAAAGATCAAATTCTTACACACACATGCATGTTATATTATTGAAGCAATCTATCACAAAATTGCCTGTGCTTCAAATCCCATAAGTTCAATAAGGCCCCTGCTCCCTTTTATATGTTTCAAAAATACTGTACATGAGAAGTTCACCTCAAGCAGTTGTAGCAATGTTCTAGGAGCAGGATTTAGCCAAACGAGTCAGGCTTTCAGCTAAGCTACCAAGAACCCTCTGAACCCTCAGAGGGACCAAGGACTGTTTAGGGACTGAGCCTCTGGAAGAAGGACTGGCTGGATTAAAAAAAAATTTTAAGCTTATTTATATTTTTCTATGAGA